GAGGGAGGGGGTGAGGGGAGACTTCCTGGGAGATGGTTCTGCATTATCTCCCATGGAACCCGGCGCCATAAAGCTTCATAACGTTTCACTTCAAAGTGCTGCCCGGAAACCACACAGAAGCTCAACCAGCACAGCACGGGGCCTGTTTTTTAGGGAATTGCCCAGGTGCCCATGAAGGGCTCAGGGAAGAAACGCTGAGTCGCCAGAAAAGGAAGCGTGTGGTTCCTTTCATGTGTCAACAGCTACGAGAAGTCGGGGCGGGGCCGCCACAGCTGCAGGGGGCTCCAGAGAAAACCCCAGGCCCTGCGAGGTCGGGGAGAGCCAGCACCTGTGGGAAGGGGTGCCCTCTCCTGCAGGGCCTCTGTCTTCAGAATAATGGGTTTTCTTAAGTGGTTTTTTAATTTGAGAAAATGAGGACGATTCTGAAATACACACGGCAGGTGTGTGGTGAGGCTGGGAACGCAGCTGACATTAAAGTGACAGCTGTTTGTCCACATTGCGTTCCCTGTATGTCTGTCTGTCCCTCACACAGACATGTGGGTTCCTGCATGCACCCCCATAACACTGGGCCCTTGGGGACCCCGACCCACCTCCTCGATGGTGGGCTTCAGGGTGACGTGCAGGTAGTGCATCCCCGCCAGCTTCATCGTCTCATCAATGCACTTGGATGTCAATGAGTTCCCTCGGAAAATGGTGTTGGGGTCCCTGGAAGACAGCATCAGGGTGACTTCTGTCTCCTCAGCGAGCGAGGTGGAGGAGAAGCAGAACCTATTCTGGAGTGCCCGTCCTCAGAGGCAGGCACACGCCCGCCTGGGGAGTCTGCTATCGGGGGTTTTAGAAGGAGCCCGAGACCAGACCGGGCATGTCACAGCAGGGGTCCTGGCCGTCCTGTCTATATAACACATCAGCAACACGCCTCCTGCCATCAACCCATCCAAAGGGACAGGAGCTGGCGGTGCTCTCCTCCCTGAGGCTTGTTTTATACAAACGAACCAATGAATGCATCTAAAGACCAAACCTGGGGCCAGCACAGGAGATCTGGCAGGGAAGGGGCGGGATGGGCTGTGCTTTCTAGAACCTCGTTCAACCAAGCTGCGTCTGGGTGTTTCTGCACTGAGGGACCCAGGGCATGTAGAACCCTCTCCACTAGTGGGGCAGGTCCTGGGATCCAGTGACCCAGGCCTCAAAGGGGGGCTTGACACTGGACTGAGCCCGTTCCTGAGGCAGCTGATGCCACAGTCACCCCCTTCTTGCACACGCACCTTGAGATTTCCGGGAGAAAAGGTACAATTTTAAAGACAGTAAGTGTCTCTCTGAAAGAAAACTGGAATCTATATGGTTTCCTTATCTGCCCCATCCCTGTGCTGTGACATGTTTTGGAGGAGACTTCTGCTGCCTGGGCCCCCCAACTTTGCCCAGCTCCAGCCCCAGCCCCAGCCCCAGCCCATCACCAGGCCAGACCCCTGGGAAATGAGGGGTCCGGGCAGAGGCCGCACTCACTGTGTCCTCCGGACCTCGGCGTTGGCGATGGCGCTGATGAAGGGCACCACCCGGCCATAGTGCAGGAAGAGTCGCACCAGCGGGATGGCCGCCTCCTGCTTTTCTCTGCACACCTCGCCCAGGATGTGAGCCGTGGACGCCGAGACGGGCTGCGTAGGGACACAGCGTGACCCCAGGGCAGCTTCCAGGCCCCCCACGACACCCCCTCACCCAGCAAAGGGAGACTCAGATGTTCCTGCGCACAAAACGGGCCCAGAGGGGCCAGGCTGCAGGGAAGTCACCAACAGGGACCAGGCGGCCCAGATGGGGGCCTCAGGTGGTCAGGGCCTGGTGGGGGGGGGGGCGGTGACAGGTGTAGGGGGCAGCCAGGGAACCAGGCAGTGGAAAGTGGATTCGGGGGCTGGTCTGGGCAGGTGGGGAGGCAGAGCTGAGCAGGGGCCAGAGAGGGAGTGGGTCTGGGTAAGGAGGCCAGG